TCCACGCTCCTCAAGAGGAAAGCTGTTAAGAAACCCCTAAGATGCCCAAACTCTGTCTGGCTTCAAGACTGGCCCATCGGGCTGTTGGGAGACAGCTGCCCGGTGTGTTCCCACCAGGCACGCTCCTGGCTTGGCTCCTGCGAGTACCACCATGTGGTTGCGGAGCCCCAGTGAAATTGGGGGCATCACGCCCTAAGTAGCAGCCTGCAGTGGGACAATGTGCTTTGTCATTTTGGAACCTGCCACTGAAACAGGACAGAGAGAAAGGAATTGGTCCTGAGACTGAAGACTATCCCTTGTCCTTGGCCTGGAGCCTAGTCGTAGTGTCCAACAAGCAAAAGCCCTTCTCTGGGGGTTTCTGCCACCACCGTTCTATGGACACTGGCAGGTGACAGCTTCCAGAAAGTGGGAGCGCCCACCAGCCTTTCGCTGGTGCAAGGACACCTGCATGATGGTGGCAGGCAGGCCTTTTTCTGCTGCGCTTACTAGCGTTTCCCTGTACACTGGACCCCAGGATAGCAGTAGAGTAATAATCACCCTGCAGCTCTTCGGCAGTCCTGCTGCCTTCTTTTGAGGAACTTAATAAGATCTGAGGAAATTGCATTACAGTCTCTCTCAAGGACGTTTCTTATCTCTCTGGGGTGTCTGCTGCCTATCACACACCATCCTTTGGGTGCTGGATGGGGGACGTTGCCTGCATTATCCAGTTGAAGCCTCGCAACAATCCCACGAGGGAGCCGGCACTGACACCACCCTGCAGATGACGAGACTGCCTCTCCTGTGACAGACGGTGCCCGAACTTCAGAGGGGACCATCCTGTCCACAGGGTGAAGAGTGGGAGCCCAGGCCTGGAGTCAGGCAGCCCTGAGAGAACATTGTCTCTTGGAGCAATGGCTTGACCTTGGCGGTGCCTTCAGTTCACGTGGGGAGCTAGATGCCCAGACCCACCAAGACCAGTTACATCGGAAGCACGGGGGTGAGGTTAGCCTTGCGCCTCATCCCCAGGGGTTTCTCTCACAGCTCTGAGGCCAGAGCCCGAAATCAAGACGAGGCTCTAGAGAAGAATCCTTTCTTACCTCTTCCAGCTTCTGGTGGCTCCTGGGTTTGTGGCTGTATGCCTTCCATCTCTGCCTCCGACAGCATGTGCCTCTTCTCCTTGTCGTCTCCATTTCTGTTTCTTAGAAGGACACCTTAGAAGGATGTAGAACCCACCCTCTTAATCTAGGATGTCTCATTTGGAGATCTTTAGCTTCATTACATCTGCAAGGACCTTTTTCCCCCAAATAAGATCACACCTGTAGTTACTGGTGGTGAGGACTAGGACATGTCTTTATGAGGAAGTGGGGGGTGTACCTGCAACCCCCTACAGAGAGCTTGCACTGTATTTTCTGGTTGCACTGGGTTGAGATCCAGGAGGTCCAAGATGTGTAATCTCTCCATCACACTGAAGTCAAACTTTATGTCCTTTTAAAATAGGCCAAACCCTGAAACCAAAGTGTGGGAAGGTCCAGGGTATTTGTAGCATCAGAGGTAATGGTGGAGGTTTATAAACCTTGTTTTAAAATAAGGAAACCTGGATGCCCGGCTGGTGTGGCTCAGTTGGTGGGAGCATTGTCCATATACAGAAAGGGTTGTGGGTTTGATTCCCAGTTGGGACACACAGGAGGCAATAGATGGATGTTTTTTTCTCTCTCTCTCCCTTCTTCTCTGAAATCAATAAAAAAAAATTTTAAAAAGAAGCATCTGCCGAAACCGGTTTGGCTCAGTGGATAGAGCGTCGGCCTGCGGACTGAAGGGTCCCAGGTTCGATTCCGGTCAAGGGCATGTACCTGGGTTGCGGGCACATCCCCAATAGGAGATGTGCAGGAGGCAGCTGATCGATGTTTCTCTCTCATCGATGTTTCTAACTCTCTATCTCTCTCCCTTCCTCTCTGTAAAAAATCAATAAAATATAAAAAAAAAAAAAGAAGCATCAATACTGAGAGAGAATCATTGATCAGCTGCCTTCTACACACCCTACACTGGGGATCAAGCCCGCAACCCGGGCATGTGCCCTGACCGGGAATGGAACCATAAACTCCTGGTTCATAGGTTGACGCTCAACCATTAAGCCACGCTGGCCAGGAATCATTGATGTTTCTCTCTATCTATCTATCTATCTATCTGTCTTCCTCTCAAAGAAAAGAAAAGGGTAAAATAACAGAGTTTGAATCAGGACCCAAGATATTGTAGTAGCTATAGAAACACAGATCAGAAATTTTAAAAATACAAAATGTTTAAAGGTTATAAAGAAAGGTCAATTGGTGTGTAAATGGACAATTTACATATTTATGTTCACAAACTGAAGTGAGAAAATGAGAGTTGAAAATGATTTCAAGAGGAATGGGTATTGGGGTGAAGGAGTGAGGATTGGAGGCAATGGGCCCTGAATGGGAAAAGGGAGAAAAGTTGGAGATCAGAATATTTCAGGTTATATATTTTTTCTCATCTTCATTCAAAGACATTCAATTGGATGTTCATTTCTGATCTTGAGTTTTCATTAAAAGAGCCCTCTGGTGTCCTCTCCCTTACCTCCCTCCAGCTCTTCGGACGTGAACTCCTCATTGTAGCCACGTCTGAGATTTCCTAGATGAAATCAGTGGCTGTAGATATGATTTCAGACTTGCAAAAAATCAGCCCACTGTTGCCATAAAAAGCCCAACTGTGCATTGCTTCTTTGGCATCTGGCTGTAACAAAAACACCCTTTCCCTGTTTAGTATTGAAAGTAAATGTAGTGGAAAGAACAGTGGGCTAGAACTAGGGGAGGCTGGGATTCTAGTCCCCAACCTTTTACCCAGCACAAAATATTTCATTTCTCTCAGGCCTTGGTGCCCTTATCCATAAAATCGGGGACATGAAACCGAATTATCACATCCACCTTAAAAAGCCTATTCTAAAAATACTATGCACTTCTTATTTCCATCTAGCCTTTTCCTAAAACCTTATTTGGCAATATCCGAATAAAATTTTGTAATTTTGTGGTGGGATCAGGAACCACACTTGGATTTCAGCATCTACCTAATTCTCTGTGCAGGCAGAACCTTTCCTGTCTTACTCAGAACTGAAATTTGAATCGTGGGGCCCCTCGATTCTTTGCTGCTTTGGAAATTCAATCCACCAGTGTTCCTGTGTGATACTGTGGAGTCTCGCTTTATTCTTAAGTCTGAAACATACGTTAGCATGACCTGAACGACACAGTGTCTCTTCTGACACATTGCATTGGTCAAAGCAAGTCAAAGGCCAGTCTAGGTTCCAGGAGAGGGCAGAAGGCCTCTATCATTGGTGACAGGAACAGCATGCCTGCACGGTGACAGAAGGAATTGATGGCCACCATGTTTGGAGATTGTCTACCATAGTCTCCCTGTTGATACATCTCTTGCTCTATTGTTCTCTTTTTATTCTTAATGGCTTTATGTGGCATAGGAACGCAGGCAGGCAGGAATTTGTTCCTGGCCTTGAACATCAAATATTTTACTGCAAACTGCAGGGGCTTTATAAGGCATTGCTGTCTCTGCCCTGGACTGTAAGGCTGGATACTTTACTCAAAGTCTTCAATGACTGTCTTGGGGGGTGCAATCATGGTTTACATGAATGGAGTACTTGCTATGGGCCAGACCCTATGCTTATGCCTTTTTCATGGGTCTGTCATTCTGGGCCTGTGCATATCATTTCAGTGCCAGTTTCTGGGTTGGTTCGGGTGATAAAAATATAGCATGGCAACGTTGATACCAAAGATTCAAAAATGCTACCCACTCTCAAGATCCCCACGCCCTCCCTTCACAGAACCACTTACTCCTCTGGGATACTTGTATGTGTTCTCTTTCCTCCCCCACTTCTGGAACCCCTTTTGTCAATTTTGTATTCCATTAATTATATATTTGCCCCACTCTGGTCCCTTCCTGCCCCCAGGCCCACCACTTTCCTGCAACCTATGCAAATTAGGAGGGACCCTGGCGGGAGGTCAAGGAATAGAGGTGTCCAAGTAGAGCTGAGTCTGTTCTCTGCATGGAGGGAAGTTTTCCGCGACCACACACAGGCCACACACACAGCCGATGCTTCACACAGGCCACACTTCACACCCTCAGGACGAAGAAATCAGGTCGGGGGAGCATGTGTGATACCTGTTTCTATACTATGCCCACAGTGTACATTTAGTAAACAGGGGCTTAGGATGATGACTATTATAATATTAATTTATGCAACGATGTCAGCAAGCCCAGAGCCAGAGCACACACTGAAAAATCCTACTGAGGTAGCTTATAACACTTTTTATTGCATTTATGTATCTCTCACAGTTTTATTGATATACTACAGGCCTGGTGCACAAAATTTGTGCGTAGGTGGGGTCCCTAGGCCTGGCCAATCAGGTTCCCTGCCTCCCCCCTCCTTCTTCCCTCACCACCTGCATCTGCCACCACCCACCCCTGGTTCCCCAGCCCAGCCCGGGGTTCAGTCCCAATCAGGCGATCAGGGCCTGCCAGCTGGGGGAAGGGACCAGAAGGTTGGCTAGCAGGCCCCATCAGCGATCAGGGCTGCAGGCTTGGGGAAGCTCCTGCATTGATCATCTGCCCCGTGGTGGTCAGTGCATGGCATAGCAACCGGTCCTTCCGTCATAATGGTCACTGAGGCTTTTATATATATAGATAATTTACACACCAGAGAGTTCACCCATTTAAAGTGTTCAGTTCAGTGGTTTTTAGCACACTCACAGAGTTTTGAGCCATCCCCTTAAATCTAATTTTAGAACATTTTTATCACCCCCGAAAGAATCTTTGTCTCCATAGCAGCCATTCCCTGTACTATACCCATCCCCTAGCCACTCATCTACTTTCCTTCTCCATAGATTTGCCTATTCTGGATATTTCATATAAATGGAATTCTACAGTGTGGCCTTTGGTGAAAAGCTTCCTTCACTTAGCTTCACTTCTAAGTTACCATTTCTTTGGTATATTTTTTCCAGGATCCTAAACACTTCAAGTCAGAGAAGACAGGACGGGGACAGTTACGGGAAGGCTGGAGAGATAGTCATCAGCCCATCATGTGTTCCTACAAGCTGGTGACTGTGAAGTTTGAGGTCTGGGGGCTCCAGACCAGAGTGGAACAGTTCGTACACAAGGTAAGTGAACAAAGAGCAGGTCCTGAGCCTCGGAACACGTACCTGTCTTTACGGTAAGCTGGAGTGAGTGATGTACGACAGATGCACAGGCGCTGAGCCAACACCAGGTAACTGCATCTAGGCAACCCTGTTTTCATGAACAGGCATTTTCCATTCAGGTTTCATTTTCTTCCACTAATAGGTGTTTTACATCATCTCCTATCCTGTACCCCCATGTCTGTTGTGTGAGTGTATTCAGGAAGGTGGATGTTCAAAACACTTACCCTATATGGAAGCAACCCAAGTGCCCATCAATAGACAAGTGGATAAAAAGCTGCGGTACCTACATAAACAGTGGAATATTACTCAGCCATAAAAAAGAATGAACTCTTACATTTGTGACAGCATGGATGGACCTAGAGGGTATGGCGCTAAACGAAATAAGCCAGACAGAGAAAGACAAATACCATATGGTTTCGTTCATATGTGGAATCTAAAGAACAAAATAAATGAACAAAATAGAAACAGACTTAGAGACACAGAGATCAGGAGGGTGGGTAGGGCTGGGTGCAAGGGATTAAGAAGTACAAGTTGGTAGTTAACAAAATAGTCATGGGGATGTAAGGTACAGCATGGGGAGTGTAGGCAGCAGTAGTGTAATAACTATGTATGGTGCCAAGTGGGTACTGAAAATATCAGGGGGATCACTTTGTAAAGCTTATGATTGGCTAACCACTATGCTGTACACCTGAAACTAGTACAAAATAATGCTGAATGCAAACTGTAATTGAAAAATTAAAAAAAAAAAAAAAAGTTAAAAACACCACATACTTCTCCCTTTGGCATTGGGCTAATCTAGTTCCAAGCACAGGTACTTATACTTGGTACTTGGGTTGCAGGCAGAGGCACGGGGCTTATCTGCATGTGCACTCCCCAAGGATAATTCTAACTCTAAAGGTCCTGCAAATGTAGACCCCTGAGGCACCGTCTGAATGCAGAAGGCACCCCAAGAGACAGAACAGGAAATCCCAGGAGTCTCATTAGATGGTGCACGGCAGAATTTCTGCTCATATAATTCTGTCAACAAAGAATTGTGAACAATCTCAAAATACAGATTTCACTTCTATACCCACTTTGGCTAAGCTCATTAATTTGGCAGCAGGAATTCCCTTGGTAATGATTTAGGTTTTTTTAGAGGTTTCTAATATGACCCCTGTCCTCATGGGGGGGGGGGGGGGGGAGGAAATGTAGTGTTGAACACTGCCCTTTGTAACTCTTTCCATCTCCCTAAAAATAAATACTACCCACATTGTCTCTGCATTCCAGCTAGGCTGGGTATGTGTTTGTTTTTCCTCTTAAAAACTGATAAAAAAAAAAAAAAAAAAAAAGCTTTCTGAAATTCTTTTGGAGGTGTTGGAATTTAAACTTAATGTGCTGAGCTTTCTGTTACTTAGATGGATTTGTCTACGGGGGACAATTGACAGTAAAATCAGGGACCTAATTGACCATAAAAAATTGTAAATCTTAAAATTAGATCCAAGGAATAGACTGACCTTGGGCTCATGATTATCACAGACTCTGGAACAAATTTGAGGCAGAGAAGGGTGCCGATCTGCTGAGCCTCAGAACCCATTCTGCCCAACCAGAGGAGGGAGCCGAGCAAGACACCTAGAAATCAAGTTCTGAGGCCTCCTGTCGTCCTGCTGTGTCCCAGTTATTAAGCAGGAAGACAGTCAGGGCTCCCAGGGTGGATATCTCCCAGCCTCCGCTCTGTGTCTGTCTCAGGCTGTGACTTCCTACAATGTCCCCTCACCCCCTTTTCTTTTTAAATATATTTTATTGATTTTTACAGAGGGGAAGGGAGAGGGAGAGAGAGTCAGAAACATCGATGAGAGAGAAGCATCGATCAGCTGCCTCCTGCACGCCCCCTACTGGGGATGTGCCCGCAACCAAGGTACATGCCCTTGACCGGAATCGAACCTGGGACCCTTCAGTCCACAGGCCGACGCTCTATCCACTGAGCCACACCGGTCAGGGCAATCCCCCTTTTCTTTACCACAGCGCTCACTGTGTTTCTTTTCTCACAGATGACTTGGGCTGGTTTTGAGAATCTGCTTCTTTAAAACACCTGTAAGAATTACACTCTGGCATAGGCATTCCCATTGCCCATTTCCAAATGGAACGAAGTGCTACCAACGCCCAGCACACACCTGCTCTGGCACATGAGTCGCTAATGGGTGTCTGAGGCCAGCATTTGCATGGGCGCCTTTCTCTGAACACCTTTGTTTTTTTTAAGAATCTTTTCACAGTTAAGGGGAAGAAATGTTTGAAAGCGAGCTATTAGCACATTATTGAGTTCCTGTTTCCAAGCAGACAGCTGTGTTGTGCTTAACGTAACAGGGTCTATTTACTGATGCCTCGATGCTGTTCTTTTGATTTCCATGAATTTGACACACTCGGCACTCAAGTATGTTCAGCTTCACGAAAATTTCTTATTTTCATGACGTTTCCTCCTTAAGCCTCACTAGCTACCCAGAGGCCTGGAATAATAAACACTTTCTGATAAATGCTTCCCGTATTTCTGCAAATTCACCAAAATTAAAATCCTTCACTTATTGAAAAATGCTCAAACCTTCCCTGAGAGGTTTTAGACAGTTGCTGGATTTGTTTGGCAGTAAGAAAGGAATGTCAGAAGGAGAGCTTGAGTGTCCAAGAAACTTTTTAAAAAGGAGTATTTGTGGAGGACAAAAATATAATACCACGAATTAAAAGCACGTAAATAGGGCTACTCACACACAAACTGTGTCTATATTATTTTTCTTTGTCTCCTGTTGCCATTATGTGTCACCATCAGAAACAGTTTCATTCTGATGGTGACACATGATGGCAACAAGACAAGCTTATCATTGCCATTATGTTCTGTTGTACTTCGGGTGTCTTATTCCATTTCTTTCGATAATAGTTTATTACTCTTGCTCCCCCCGCCCCTCCTATTACGTGAAAGTCAAGCCCAGAAAGATATTTATGCATCTTGTATCCCACACCTTCAATTATTTATTTGTTTGTTTATTTGTTTTATTTTATTTTATTTTATTTTATTGTTAATCTTCACCCAAGGATATTTTTCCACTGATTTTTAGGGAGAGTGGAAGAGAGAGGGAAAGACTGAGAAAAACACATCTATTGGTTGCCTCCTGCATGAGCCCTGACCAGGGCCCAGACTGGGGAGGAACCTGCAATCAAGGTACGTGCCCTTGACTGAAATTGAACCAGGGACCCTTTGGTCCGCAGGCCGATGCTCTATCCACTGAGCCAAACCGGCTAGGGCGCTTCAATTGTTTTAACATTTAAGATATTTCATCAGAGAAGAGTGTTAAGTGCTCTTTATTAAGAAGTGACCTGCTTCCCAGAAAAACTCTTGATTTCTAACATGTATGACCTCTTGGCACCAGTGAGACACATCCTCTACAAATGAAAAGTAGAGCCTGTTTTAGGTAAAGGTAAACGAAGAGAGAAATCTCAAGGTGATTAGCCTGGAGATTCATTCCAGTCATTGCCATGTGACTGCCAAGTCATTCTCATTGGTTTGTACACACCTCGAGCCCGACTTCCAAGAAAGACGGACATTAATTTACACCAAGGACATGCCCGCCTTGGAAAGGGCTGAGGGTGAGCAAGTACAATACCTGTGCCTGTCCTCTGTCATTGTCCTCCCATATGGACAGAGGGATGGAGACATTTATAATGCCAGGATTCCAAAAACTGGGAATGATCTATTTTCCAGGTAGTTTTAATCAAACATGGTATTATTTCAACCTTCTTCTTTTACTTTTTTAGGTAGTCCGAGATATCCTGCTGATTGGACATCGACAGGCTTTTGCATGGGTTGATGAGTGGTATGGTAAGTCAACTTCCCCGAAATAACTTGTAGGACAGTTTCATTACACATTGATTTGGGATTTCAGTCCATCTGGCTTTAAAACGCTACCTAGAAAGACATCAACAAAGGCAGGGCTACTGCTTCCTGTATTGGAAATAGCACTGTTCACGAACATAATGAGGAAAAATGTAATGATAGAAGCCTGATCTAAAATAACTACAGTACTTAGGTGTTGAGGAAGTGGGACCTCAGTCAGTATGTTTGATGCTTTCTTACTTGGCTTGCATATAGGACTCCATAATTCTCTGTGGGATGGGTTTCAGTCTCATCCTAATTTATACCAAACTTCAAGATCAAAGCTGTCGCAAGTGTCATACCAAGTGAACGTCATCCTTTGATTCACAGATCACTTGAAATGCTCCCTCCCACAAAACAAGGATTCGGCAAGAGTTCAAGGGCGGAGGCCTAGATGCCCCCTTAATCCTAAGGCTATTGTTTTGGCCTTTTTCCTTTTTTTCTTTCTTTTTTTGTTTTAACATGATTTGGGAAGAGTTTAGCAAGTTGTGCTCATTTCCAGTAAATGATGGATAGGGCACCCTCCCCAGATCCTCCGCACCGTCATTTTACCCGAGAGAATCCTCTCCAGTCCCAGGAACAGTCATCAGACACTAGTGTCCTTGACTTTAAATAGAAACAAACACGCCCATTTGGTGGCTTGGGTTAGATCTGATTATCTAATGAGGTGCCCTTTTCCTTGGCCTTATCCTAAGTCACCGGATCTGTTCTGAGTGTAAGCGCGGTTGCATTCTGGTGCTTTTCTGTCACTGTTCCACCAGTTCCCTCTTCAGAACAGAAGGTATCAAACTTCAAGTGAAAGGAGAGGTTGGACTGAATGGACAAAGACAGGGATCGTCAGTAATGTGGTTTGCTGTTTTTGAGCCACATTTTTTTAGAAACATGGTTTTGTAGGCCAAGGAAGGGCTTTTTATTTTTTGCAATTGTTCCCAGTTCTGCATCTTCTAAAGAACAAATGCATCTTCCTAGAAGAGATTCTTTTGGAAGATCACCACTTACCACAACCCCCAGCATGCTGCCACCTGTGGCCCGTGGGCTGGCTCAACTCACGGTCGTGTGTCTCCCTGAGACCTGTCTGTGGTTGTCTTTTGTGAGGCAGGAGGGACGTCTCCTGTGGTTACTTCCCCTGATCTTTAAACCAATCCTTCCGGTTGTATTTTTCTGGGGAGCTTTTCTCAGATTCTTAGAGGGAGCACTGACCCCAAAAAAGGTGAAGAACTGGTAAATCCCAACTTGGATTCCTCCAGGCTTATGGTTTCCTTACTGCCTACACAAGGGATATCAAAAGGATATCCACAGAATAACAGGCCCAAACTGATAAGGAGGTTGGCAAGTGAAGGGGACCCGAAGGACCAAATATCTGCCACTTTGGGCACGTCAGTAGACGTCTCTCTAGTGCCAGGATGCCAGCATGGACTTTTAAGAAAGCTCGGCATCAAACAGGGCAGCTGGGTCCTGGTTCAGAGGACAAAACACTGCCAGCCTATCAATCAGGGAAGGGCTTGAGTAGAGACGATACGGAAAGAGGAAAACTTGTGGGTGGGCCTCCAGTAAGTGAGCTGCTGGAGGGTGGAGGATGAGGATCGACTGGGGTAAGGAAGACTAAAATACTTTTAATCCAAAAACAGAAAAATCTCAGACTTTTACAGGGGCCCAAAGGTAGAATAATACATCAAAGGAACCTGGAGGCCTCCAGTCCTAGAGACCTCACAGAGAACACCTATCTGTTTAGTTCAGATGGGCTTGGTGGAGACAGAACTCCAGGGGCCTGTTGACAAAAAGCTTTTTCTGTATCCTAGTGCAGAAAAGCAGCATGTGGGTTCGTGGATGTAGACCATCAGGGTGCCGTGTACTCCCTAGAAAAGGTCTCTACCCCCAGTATACACAATCCTAGCCCTAACCAAACAGGCAGCCTTTTCACCCAGCAAGGGGTCTGAGAGCCACCCCATCCATTTCGTGTAAGTGACTGCTGGCATCGTCCCCCGTCTGAGCTGCTTGCCAGCAAAACAGTGGCTCCTTCATTACACAGACGCAGACCCTCAAGTCAAATGGGTGGAAATGGCCCTGCCCACAGAGTGTCTTTTGAGCCTCTTATTCACAGTAATGCTGGGGACTGTGGGCCTTTCAGGTAAATGGGTGTGTCCCTGGCACCAAAGCCAAACGTCTACCAGGAGAGCCCTTCAGTTTTGGGTACCTGAAGTTGCTTATTTTTCTTTAGCCTGTACAGAGTCAGGGAGGCTGTCGTTAGTAAACATGGACAAGGTCCAAAGTCAAAACAAACATACAAAAAACAACTCTTGCCGGTAGCTCATAGCCTGGTTCTCAAAGTGAAGTCCCTGGGCCAATAACATCAGCATCCCCTGGTTACTTGTTGGAAATTCAGATTCTCAGGCCCTACCCTACACCTACAGAATCAGGTACACTGGGGTATAGGCCAGCAATCTGTGTTAATAAGCCCTCCAGTTAATAAGCTCAATAAAATTTATGAACACCTGGCATATCGCATGAACTGCAAACCAGATTAGATCGCAAGGAAGAACAGTTTGACTCAGTACAAACAGGTTAAACTAAAGAATGGTAGCCGTCTTCAGGACCAACTGCCAAATTCTGGTGCCTTGTGAGAATTAGAAAAGGGCGCCCCCTTTAGGCAGATTCAGCAGGTGCTATCGTCTTGGGGCTAAATTTTAGCCCCATTCACCCCCTGGGCTGAGTGTTCCTATTGCACACAAACTGTACACCCTTATTCAATGGCAGCCCTGTTTGTCTTTCTCCCTAGACTCACCATCTCCAGTGCTTAATTAAGAGTTTAAAAAAAAAAAAAGGACATTGTAGCTGATGGTGATCTTTTCTTGCTCAAGGATTTTAATTTTGTATCTTTTCCAAGTCTCAGCATTTTGCTGTCGCATAACTAATTTCCTAAACAGATGTTATTCTGCTCATGTTCATAGTAAAGTGTAACCGTTTCCACTATTGAAGGAGTTGAGTTTGTCTTTCAAAGGCTTGATTGGTCTTTATCCATGAGCCTTGAGTGTCTCCTGTGTGACTAGAACACTAATCAGAGAAGTAGCAACAAGGCATTTCAGAAAATGGGGTGGATAAAAATAGGCAGCCCAGCTTCATAAGAGCATGGTTTTGCTTCACAGACTGACCGTATTTTGAGAAAGGAACACAGGATTGCCAGCGGAAGGTTGTTATTGAGTGGAACCTCGTGAGCATCTTATAAATCCTCACCATTCAAAAAAATATGGGGGCGGAGGGGTAGTTCTGACTGGTACAGATGAAACCACCTCATGACAGTGACAGGAATCATCCCGAAGTCCCTAGAGCAGGCCTAACACTGAGTGAAGCAAGCTCAAAGCGGAGAACGGCATGCTTAGAGGTTAGCACGAGCTGGTTGGGGTCACCAGGCCAGCATTTTCCAATGGCCTCACATGACTTTGAGTGCCCTGGCTCTTCCTAGTAGGCAGTATTTATGTTCATTTCTCTGGGGAGAGAACCCATAACTTTCCATCAGCTTTTTAAAGGGATCTGTGACCCCGCCCCCTACTTCCTCAAATTAAGAACTATAGGGAAAAAATGACAGCTGTAGATTACAACCCGGCATCTTAGTGGTCTGAATTAGTACATGGAAAGGGTATGCACCAAGCTTTAAGGATTGGCTACTTTCACTGCACAAAAGGTGTAGCCACCCTAACCTATTTATAATAAGCATTGTTCATCTTATAATCATTTTTATAGGTTTAAATAAGGCACTTCCCAAAGGATAGCCTCCATTGTAGTGGAGCCAAAGGGATATCACATCTAACTAAGGATTGCTGGAGCCTCCCCCATGCCCAGCCCCACACCCAACCCAGCCACTTGTTCAAGAGTTCCATTTTGACTTCGAGCAAGGAAAAATGAATTCTTTTTAGGCTGAGGAGCCTGGAAGTGGAGAGAAAATGTTTATAGAAGGAAATATAACATAATGCGCCATTGGACAGGTTATTGAATTAGAGTTGGTAGAGCCTTTTTAAAAATTTTTAGTTGCTCAGGTTTGGCTCAGTGGATAGAGTGTCAGCCTGGGAACTGAAAGGTCCCAGGTTCGATTCCGGTCAAGGGCATATGCCCGGGTTGTGGGCTCGGTGCAGCCCATCGATGATTCCCTCTCATCATTGATATTTCTATCTCTCTCTCCCCCCCTTCTTCTCTGAAATCAATAAAAATATATTTAAAAAAAATTTTTTTAGTTGCTGCAACTGTGCAGTGCAAGGTAGGAAAATTCAGGCTTGCAGACATTTTGTTCCTTGGTATTTGTAGTTTCTCTGTATGTTCAACTGACTTCTATCCTAAAGGCTTTCCAGATATATGATCTTGCCTCTACTTCCTGTAAGATCAGTCTATCTTCTTTTGTTTTTGTTTGTTTGTTCGTTTGTTTTCAGAGAGGAAGGGAGAGGGAGGGAGAGAGAAACATCAATGATAAGAGAAAATCATTGATCACCAGCTTCCTGCACTCCCCCTACTGGGGATCGAGCCAGCAACCTGAGCATGTGCCCTTGATCTTCAGTCCACAGGCGGGTGCGAACCAGCTAGGCAGGGGTGGGCAAACTTTTTGACTCGAGGGCCACAATGGGTTCTTAAACTGGACCAGAGGGCCGGAACAAAAGCATGGATGGAGTGTTTGTGTGAACTAATATAAATTCAAAGTAAACATCATTACATAAAAGGGTACGGTCTTTTTTTTTTTTTTTTTTAGTTTTATTCATTTCAAACGGGCCGGATCCGGCCCGCGGGCCATAGTTTGCCCACGGCTGATAGGGCCTGCCTGCCTTCTCTAAAGCTAAAAAGATTGAAAGAAAATTTCCACCATAAACACAGTTGAAAGACTAGGAGAAGATAACTCTCAATATATGTAGCTAACAGAGGATTACTTAATATAAAAAGTGGTTCTATAAGTCAAAAATCCAACA